CGCGCCCATCCGTCTGTCTCGGAAAGGGGGCGGTTTCCGAAACAACCGATGCCAATCGTGTTGTCCGCTGGTCTCCGAGGTTTCGCCCCCGTGCTCAGGCGCCCTCCCAGCCGTGGGAGAGATCAGGGCGGAATGGTTTCGTCAGTTTTCGCGTTGATTAGTGGATGCCCGTGGTGGGCCCAATGGCGGTCGTAACGACGGCCCTTTAAGACGCGCCGCTTTTTTTGAGGAGGTCCAGGCTCTTGACACTGGGGGCCCGTGCAAAGAAACGAACAGCTTGCCTCCAGAGTGCTGTGGGTTTCTCTGGTTTCGATGGTTTTGCGGTGGAAAGCGCGACGCTCCCACGCCAAAAAATCAATGGACGTCCTGGGGTCTCAGGGTTGAGTTTCTTGTGGGAGGTTCCTTGTGTTCGAGCCCTTACTGTTTTGACGAACTCACGACGTCGGGCGCTTGTGTGTCCCAGCTGCAGTCTTTTTACTTAACAGCGAAGACAGATAGGTTTCTAGTGGTGTCAAAAGAGAGCATCTGATGACTCAGAAGGGAGGTCTGAGCGGCATCCGGACAGCGAGGGCCGGGCTCAGGGCCGGGCTCGTTTTAAGCAAGCAGTCGCACACTTCGTGCTCTTCGACCTCCCACGACTCCATTCCCGGGCCACATTTTGGATGCCCGGAGCCAACTGTAGGCCACTTCGTGTTCTTGGACTTCCCAGAACACGACTCCCGGGCCACATTTTGGATGCTCGGAGCCAACTGTAGGTTACTTCGTGCTCTTCGACTTCCCAGAATTCCATTTCCGGGCCACATTTTGGATGCTCGGAGCCAACTGTAGGCCACTTCGTGCTCTTCGACCTCGCAGATTTCCATTCCCGGGCCACATTTTGAATGCCCGGAGCCAACTGTAGGCCACTTCGTGCTCTTCGAGTTCTCAGAACTCCATTCCCGGGCTGCATTTTGGATGCCCGGAGCCAACTGTAGGCCACTTCGTGCTCTTCGACTTCCCAGAACTACGTTCCCAGGCCACATTTTGGATGCTCGGAGCCAACTGTAGGCCACTTTGTGCCCGGGCGACATTTTGGATGCTTGGAGCCAACTGTAGGCCACTTCGTCCTCTTCGATTTCCCAGACTTCCAAGACTCATCATCTTCATCATCATCATCATCGTCCCCGTAGCCTTCTTGGCTACAGCCCTGCTTTCGAAGATTTTCTTTCAAAGGAACTGCGCAGCGCCTACTGCACACCTTAATGCCAGGACATGCTGATAGTTCTCGGTCTGGCGGCGGTGCTCCTGACCCTGCTGCATTGAACAGCGGTGCTCCTCAGCCTGCGGCAGGGAACAGCGCTGCTCCTCAGCGTGCTGCATTGAGCGGTCCTCTGCAAACGCTCGTCGAGCACGTGAAGCAGTTCGGCCGGATACCGAAGCGAAATACAGGAACGTCCGAACAAAAACGGGCCGAAAACAAGTTGGCCAAACGTTTCTCGGACCATCGCGACCGCATCCCCAAAGACATTTTGCATGAACTGCGGGCCCTTGGCTGTGCTGATCAGCAGTGTCTTGTTTAGACCTCAATGCATTTATACAAAGATCTCATTTGGAGATACCGCTATCGAAAGCAATGTTTCTGCTGGTACTACCACTGCTCCCATCACTCCAACTCGTTCACTTTACACACTACAACTACTACTTCACGGTTACCACTACTACCATCACTACTACTTCTACTGCTACTACTACTGTTACTATTACTGCTGCTGCTGCTGTTGCTGCTCCTAGTGTAGCTATTACTCATGCAACTACTGGCAGTGCCACTGCGACTGCCGCTGATGTTGCCACTGCGACTGCCATTGCGAATCCGAATGCGATTGCGAGAACACCAGAATTCTACAACAACACTCTTACATGAATACCACGGGCAATGTTTCCAGCTATGCTTCTACACATCGCTGTTAGGTTGCTTTCCCGGGAAAATTCGTTACCTATAACCGAAGACTGATAGGTGTCTAGTGGTGTCACAAGAGAGCATCTGATGACTCAAAAGGGAGGTTTGGGCGGCATCCGGACAGCGAGGGCCGGGCTCAGGGCCGGGTTCATTTTAAGTAAACAGTCGCGCATTTCGTGCTCTTCGACCTCCCAGAACTCCATTCCCGGGCCACATTTTGGATGCCCGGAGCCAACTGTAGGCCACTTCGTGCTCTTGGACTTCCCAGAACACGATTCCCGGGCCACATTTTGGATGCTCGGAGCCAACTGTAGGCCACTTCGTGCTCTTCGTTTTCCCAAAACTCCATTCCCGGGCCACATTTTGGATGCTCGGAGCCAACTGTAGGCCACTTCGTGTTCTTGGATTTTCCCGAACACCATTCCCGGGCCACATTTTGAATGCCCGGAGCCAACTGTAGGCCACTTCGTGCTCTTCGACTTCCCAGAACTCCATTGCTGGGCATGATTTTGAATGCCCGGAGCCAACTGTAGGCCACTTCGTGTTCTTCGAGTTGCCAGAACTCCATTCCCGGGCCACATTTTGAATGCTGAGGCAGGCTGATGCTGAGGCTGAGGCAGGCTTAGGCTGAGGCAGGCTGAGGCTGAAGGCAGATTGAGGCTGAGGCTGAAGCAGGTTGAGGCTGAGGCTGAGGCAGGCAGAGGTTGAGGCTGAGGCAGGCTGATGCTGAGGCAGGCTGGGGCTGAGGCTGAGGCTGATGCAGGCTGAGGCTGCGGCGGGCTGAGGCTGAGGCCGAGGCTGAAGGCAGACTGAGGCTGAGGCTGAAGCAGGCTGAGGCTGAGGCTGAGGCAGGCTGAGGCTGAGGCTGAGGCAGGCTGATGCTGAGGCAGGCTGAGGCTGAGGCTGAGGCTGATGCAGGCTGAGGCTGATGGCAGGCTGAGGCTGAGGCCGAGGCTGAAGGCAGACTGAGGCTGAGGCTGAAGCAGGCTGAGGCTGAGGCTGAGGCAGGCTGAGGCTGAGGCTGAGGCAGGCTGATGCTGAGGCAGGCTGAGGCTGAGGCAGGCTGAGGCTGAGGCTGAGGCTGATGCAGGCTGAGGCTGAGGCAGGCTGAGGCTGAGGCCGAGGCTGAAGGCAGACTGAGGCTGAGGCTGAAGCAGGCTGAGGCTGAGCTGAGGCAGGCTGAGGCTGAGGCTGAGGCTGAGGAGGCAGGCTGAGGCTGAGGCTGAGGCTGAGCAGGCTGAGGCTGAGGCAGGCTGAGGCTGAGGCCGAGGCTGAAGGCAGACTGAGGCTGAGGCTGAAGCAGGCTGAGGCTGAGGCTGAGGCAGTGAGCTGAGGCTGAGGCTGAGGCTGAGGCAGGCTGAGGCTGAGGCTGAGGCTGAGGCAGGCTGAGGCTGAGGCAGGCTGAGGCTGAGGCCGAGGCTGAAGGCAGACTGAGGCTGAGGCTGAGGCAGGCTGAGGCTGAGGCTGAGGCAGGCTGAGGCTGAGGCTGATGCAGGCTGAGGCTGAGGCAGGCTGAGGCTGGCTGAGGCTGATGCAGGCTGAGGCTGAGGCTGAGGCTGAGGCAGGCAGGCAGACTGAGGCTGAGGCTGAAGCAGGCTGAGGCTGAGGCTGAGGCAGGCTGAGGCTGAGGCTGTGACTGCGACTGCCGTTGCCACTGCGACTGTCATCGCGAATGCGACTACGACTGCGAGAACCGCAGAATTCTACATCTGGATTCTCATCTGAATCTTAAGGGGAATGCTTCCAGATATGCTCCTACACATCGCTGTTAGGTTGCTTTGCCGGGATAATTGGATTCCGTAATTGATGGCACCACGGGCCCGAAAACGGTCCCCCCGGAGGCTGAGGCGAAGGGTGAAGGACCCCCACGGGGCTCATTTCGATTCCCCCGAGTCGATTCCGATTTCGGCTCCGATCCAGATTCGATTCGACTTCGGATTCCCATCGGTTTACCAGCCTGGAACATATTCCGATCCCTATGCTGGGCATCTCCTCATCACGATGCCAATTTTAGGGGTTCCCTTATTTTTTGAGGGCGCATCCCTAAGATTGTCATCGCCTTTTGGCGTGTCAATCTTAGGGATAGGGATCTGATCCAGGCTGATAATTTGTTGAACGACGCAAGAAAACGGGGTCGTCTTCGCCGACCTTCGCGAGCGTAGGATGCCTGCGTGAGGTCGCGCGTGAAAGCGCCCTTGTCTTCAACATGGCGTGCCGCGCTGGCGGCCCGCGTAGGCCGCAACGTGAGATCGCTGTGCCATCTCGCGTGAAACCCGTTTATGATAATCGGTCAAGTGGATTCCTTGGCATCGTTCGAACGTGTGGATTTTTCCTTCGGCGAGGACCATCGAGGAGCATCCTTGATCATTTGGCGAAAAAAAACACGCACGAAGCCGAAAACAACACACGGAATGGACGTCCGAGCGATGGCGAGATTCCGCTTTACCAAAAGGAGCCTTCATTGCCTGCCGATTTCCCGCCGATGCGGCTTCTCCCGGCTTGGCTGTGCTGGTTGCCGCCGATCCGATTCATTCCGATCGCCGATCCGACTTGTCGGTTCGTCGTTCTCGTCGTCGTTATGAGCGGTTCTGCAGTTGTTCACAATTCTATTCGTTTCACGTTGCACGTGCCCCTTGGGATGTCCAGGCGTCCGTCAGATCGATTTGACGCCAGGGGCCCGGCCTTGAGAGGTCGAACAGCATGCCGCGTCGTGTCGCTTCTGTTCGTGCCCGTTTCACGCGTGTCTCTCCGCGAGCCCAGCAGCCCTCCAGGGGCCCGGGCGCGGGCGACCCCCGCCTCGCTGCATCCGCATCCGCATCCACATCCGCATCGCCGCCGCCGCGGTGGGCCGCCGCCGTCGCCGTCAGCGCCGCCGCCGCCGCCGTCGCCGGCAGCGCGGCCGCCGCCGCCGGCAGCGCCGCCGTCGCCGTCAGCGCCGCCGTCGCCTTTGGGGCCGCCGTCGCAGTCGCAGTCGCCGCCGCGGTCGCCGTCGCCGCCGCCGCCTGCGGGGCGACGACGGCCCCCCCCCCGCGCGCGCGCGCGCTTCCGAGCCTGCGCGCGCGGGCCCCGCCGGCCGCAGCAGCCCCCGCGCCCGCACCCGCCCCACGGCGCCGCCGCGGGGGCCGCCCGCCCGCCCGGTCGGGGGGCGTCGGCTCGCTGCCCCGCCGAGGCTGGCCGGGCCCATCCTTGGCCCGGCGTGCCCTGGAGTGCAGTCGGGGCCCTGAAGAAGGAACCCTTTTCGTTGGGGAGGGGCTCGGTGTTCCTTGATAGTTGTGCAGCTTGCCTTGGGTGTTCCTTTCGTTTTCCATGGGAAGTCAGAACTTATTGGAACAAGGGGCCTCGTTCCTTATTCAGGGTTCCTTAGGTCAAGGCCCCGACTGTAATTAGTTGATGCGCCTCTCTCGGTGGCGAGCGAGGGAGGGGAGCTTTCGGGTTCGAGGCTCGAGGCTCCCGGTTTTGGGACGGTTGCTTCAGTTCTCGGCGGTGCTCCAGCCTCGGGATGGTTGCCAACAGCTGCGCCTCGCCGAGGGCGTTCCAGGGGTGCCCGGATCGTCCCGAGCGGCCGCTGGTGACACGAGTTATGACCCCCCAGACCAAATTCGGCGGCGCGCCCGGGGGGGGAAAGTGAAAAGGAAACGGCCTTCTCAGAAAGCGGCGGGTATTCTCAGGAGCATTTGCGCCTTCTGATCAGTGTTCTGCTTTTTCGAGTGAGGTTTAGAGAGCCCTGAGGGACGGGGGACATGCGAGCCTTCTGAGAAGGCCGGTCCCTTTCCACTTCCCCCCGCGCTCGTCGCCAACTTGAATCGTCGATTTGTTTCCTTTCGTCGCCTTTGTTTGTCCGTAGCGTTTGGCCTCTGAGGGCCGTTTGCAGGCCCGGGGGCCGTCAGAAACGGGCCCAGGAGGAACAGCATTTCTACGGGCGGTTCTCCGGCAAGGTCTGCAAAGTGGCGCCAGTTTTCCAGGAGGGGCAGGGGTGTCTTGTCGGAGCGCTCGAAAGGGGCACGAAAAAGACATGGTGTTACGTCGGGCGTGTCCCTTTACAGGAGGAGTATTCAAGAATAGTAAAACAATAGTCCGGGGATGCTTTTTTGAGTGTTTGTTGACTACCCAGAGCTTCACCCAGCATCAGATTCTGGATCCGCCTCAAATTTTTGATCTTGGTGCTCTGGACTCATATTTTAGGTTTATCCTATGAAACGCGGGATTTTAGATCTAGATCTAAATTTTAGATCTAGACCTAAATTTTAGATCCAGACTTAAATTGGGGTGTTGTTTTTCTACTATCGATACTATTATCGATCTCATTGCCGATTTCATTATCTCATTATCGATCTCATTATGGATCTCACCGTCGATTTTACGATCGATCTCACTGTCGATCTCTCCTTCTTCTCCTCCTCCTCCTTCCTCCTCCCCCTCCTCCTGGTCCTTCTCCTCCTCCTGCCTTCGTTCAGTTGCGAGTCTGAGGGAGGCCTTTAGAACTTCGTCTGGGTATCTTCAGGGTCGGCCGTTGCCGTCGTTCGCGAAGTCGCGCGTACACCCCCTCCACTCCCCCATGAGACCCTTGGGAGCCCTGTGGTGCTTTGTGGCGTTGTCTTGGAAACTTGTGGAGCCATCTTGGGGCCTTGTCGGTTTGTGTTCTTCTGTTGGGAACCTTGTGGTGCCGTCTTGGAGGCCCTCTGGTGCCGTCTTCGGTGCCTTTCGTTTTCTGCGGGCAACGCTTCAGGCCGCACTCTGGTCCAGTTGACCAGCACACGGGTGTCAAGGAATTCAGCGACGCAAACTTAAAGTGCCAGCAATCTGGCATCACGAAGACAAGCATGAGGGCACAGGTGACGTCAGTGACGACGATCTGTTGATAATGGTGATGGTGATGATGTTGTTGATGATGGTGATGATCCTGAAAGGGGTCGCCTGGCCCTGACAAAAATGCAAGCATAAAAACTTGCAGTGATAAAGGATCCTTGTCTACAAGGACTCACCGACCAGCAAACGCTCAAGCATTGACTCTGCGAACGTGTCTGGATGGCATTTTCGCCCAATATTGCGGAGCAAAAGATTGAGCGTCTCATCCTCGTACGTTGTGTGAAACCTGCAGTTGCCAGACTGACATATGTTCATCGTGAGGTGAATGAACAAGTGGTGTTTCGGATGATAGTGGAACCCCCCTACACCATACAGAACGCAATGGTTGACGCAAGGAGTCATCATATCCTGTTTCACATTCATGCTGGTTACTCGGCTTTCAGCCGCTACGATACTATACCACTGTTTCAACGCGGTGCCAGCCTCAAACAGGCTAGCGTGCACTTCAGCATCTCTGAAGGCCTCGCCGTAAACCATCATCTCCTGTAAGATGAATCCCACGATGCCACGGCTTTCGGCGCCCTTCGCTTTCAGCGTCGGGTCGTCCGAATGAAGACCTATCATTTGCAACGAAAGATCGTCGATCTTGCTTATTGGCGAACTTCTATGTAATCTGTTGTATCGCCCATACCACCTGCGCAACCGAGATTTCATGACAAGAAGTCCCGAGGCTAAGCGATCATCCGCTAGTGCGTCCTCTGCCCCATAAATGTTTGAACGGAGCATCTCTGTCAAGCACGCACCAGCCCAACATTGCGTTACCCCCAAATCGACCACGTGGAGGACATCTAAAACAAGATGAGTCACAGAAAGCCCGAATATTCCTTGCATGCGCACCCCTGGGATGTCAAAAATGCATGGGACCCCTGCAATACCTGTGTTGTCATCCGTGCGGAAGAACAAGACGGTACATGGCAACGATACGTCCTGGAGATGACTGTGAACCAAACAAAACAACATGTTTCTAAACCGTGAAGCTGGATCCCCAGAGAGAATGCAAAGTTCCATTTTCGGACCCCGAGACCTCAGGTATAAACTCAAACTTCCCCTGGAAAGCTTGAAGTGTGTGTTGTTTGATTCACAGCCAACAATCCTCGAGACGATGCAGATCTGGTATACGTTCTGTGCACACCAGCGAATCTCCCGAGATGAGCCCAAAATCATCCAAGCGCTTGCCAACTACTCTTCCCCAAGGATGCGCCTTCCTGAAACGCAAAGCTCCCACAAGTGTTCTTAGTTGATCTGAGGTTTCAATATTTACTGTGATGACTTGCCTTGTCAGCTCATCAATATAATCATCCATTGTTCGTTCGTCCCAAGGCAATTGAATTGAAGAGCAACTGCTGTATTCTGTATGCATGTTAGTAAGGCGGCACCGACACTTCGGACACGGGCATCTGGCAGTCCATCGCTTTAGACGGGCTATGTCACAATGCTCAGGCCAATCGCATCTGTATTCAGTAACCGCACCGTGAAAGCCTAAAGTTGCGCCTGCTTTCTCGGCGCGTAGGGGGTCCTCCTCCCGCCAAGGCAAGCCGTCGAAACGCTCATTCATATGTATCGATGGTCCCCCGAACAGGTGTAAGCCGAATGTGTGTTTGCCGCGTGGGCATCTGAATGTTCCGGTTGCCAAACACACGTTTGGGTTGACACGCGTTGAGGGGACCATCGAATGTTTTCCCTCGGCAAGGCAATTCAACGACTTGTTGATCACTACTTGGACTGCATCTGTAGTGCACCTGCCATTGCAGCCGCACTGGCACATCTGCTTTTTCAACAACAGCCACATGACATGTCTTTTTCGCTGCCACGTGACGTTGCACATGCCAACCAGCACAGAACCAGCTTTGTAGACAGGAGTGGCATCGCTGTAGAGCCCAATCGGAACGGTGTTCGCAATTCCATTCTGTTGAGTTACAATGTGTTGAGTATACGATGGAACCATAACTTCGTCGGGGTCTTGTTTTTTGTAATCCATGCTGCTCCTGTTCGTTTCATACATGCTACTGAACACCTCATGGGGCAAACGAACTGGTATCCACTTAAATACTCTAGACGCCGAGCGCCTGTCGTAAACTGGCACCTTGACATAGTAAAACTCCCCTCGCAACTCTCGCAAGCCGAGAGCTTGACGCACATGCCTGGCGTGATTGCGTCCAAGATGACCAGGGTTCACTCCGAGGTCTGCGACCTCAGCGGCGCCTGCGCGACTAGAGAGACACGCCTCCGAGCACAATTCTTTACAAGTCTTGGCGCCCACGGACCACTGGCGCAACAAGTGCTTGCGATATTCCAAGCCTGCGTCGCGAGACCTTCCCGCTTCAACGGATGTTGGTTTTGCGACGTTCTCGGATCTCCGAGCAGGTAAATTCCGTAATCGGATGCCCGCAGCTCGTTTCGTCATCGATGCCAAAATGCCTATATACGGATTGTTGTGTTTGTTGGTTGTTGATGCGGACGACGGGCGATTGCACGTGACACGAACCCTGACGACGACGACAATCGGTTTTGAAGAGAGGACGGGGGGGATGAGGGTTCGGCCAACTAGACCACCGTCGGTTTCCAGAAGGGCGTGTTCCCCTCTTCTTCTTGGGGCTGCTTGTCGGAAGGGCTGCATCTTTTTCGTCTTGGGGCGTGCTACAGCTATTGCTATACCTGCCATTGCTACACTGAGCCCGCTGCTACACTACATTTGTGCTTATTCGCTTTCGCGTCAGTCCGCAGATGCCCCTGACCCCGCGTTGGAAGCCACTTCCTCCCCCTGACCCTCTCCTCACCCTCCTCCTCCTCCGCCGCCTCATCGTTCTCCTCCTCGTCCTCCTCCTCCTCTTCCTCCTCCTCCTCACCCTCGCCCTCCCCATGGATCCTTGCTTCCGCGTAGCTCCGCCGATGCTGCTGACCACAAGTACTCGTTGCAAGCCAATGGCCTCAGATCCCGAGAAGCACGTGCAAGAAGACTGGTGAGTTCAATGCTTTTCGAGCACATCTCCCCACGACGCTCGGCAGCTGCAGGACAGAGAGAACGGGGCGCAGCCCCATGGCAGCATCCGAAGCCGTAAAAACATCAGCCACGACAGCAAGAAGAGGAAGAGGAGAAGAGTGATGATGATGATGATGAGGAGGAGGAGGAGGAGGAGGAGGAGGAGGAAGAGGGAGGTGGAGGAGGAGGACGAGAAGGAGGAGGAGGAGGAGGAGGAAGATGAGGAGGAGGAGGAGGGGGGGCTGATCGCTCTGGCGCGCACTGCTTCTAACAAGCTGTGCTTACATATAGCTAAGCTGCACGCGTGTAGCTATGGGCCAGCT